CCCTGGCGCGCGCCGCGAGTCACGTCGACCCCTGGGGCCTGACGCACCCACTAGCCGCAGACTAAAGGGCGGAGGTCGGGGCTGGGTGGAAGCCCAGCCGGCTCCATGCACAGGGAGCGGGACCTTGCGTGGAACCCAGCCTGGGAGAACCCTGACTCCGGCCCGTTAACCCGCCCCACCTCCTGCTCAAACCCGCAACGGTAAGATTGATAAGCACAAGCCCTGAACGGCAAAGCTGACCCAGCTGATCAGCTGTAGTGGTGACCAATGGGGTCAGCTGGCCTGGGCGAGCCGGGCCCCTCCCTTTCCAGTGGGCCCCTTCCCCTGGAGACAGTGCTCAAGGGTTGGCCCCAGGCGTCCAGAAAGGACACAGCCTGGAATTCTGGAATTCCAAGGGGTTCAAATATGTGGTTACAGGAAGTTTAATCGAAGAGGGCAAAGCTGTGCACTTTGCAGCAGCCTGTCTGTGCCTCTGGGCAGCATGTTCCTCCTTCCGTGTCCTTTGGAATCCTCAGTGCCACAAAGAGCAGGGTGTCTGGTCCCTTTGGATGTGGACATTTCAAGAGTTCAGGGGTCAGGTGGGGCAGTCTCTGGGCGGTGGACACAGCACCTGGCTGGCCCCCTGAGAGCCACAACCCTGTAGCAGGCCTGCCCTCCCCGCAGAGCCTTTTAAGGCCCAGGTGCTGCACCAGAGGAAGTGAGGAAGGACAGTGTGGGCTTGGGAGGGCGTGGTAGTTATGGCAGCGAGTCTGTGAAGAACCCCTGCAGAGACAGTGGGAGGCGGGCTGTGTCACACAGTGTCTCACATTCCCACAGTTTTGCAGATGAGAAAACAGGCTCTGAAAGTCTGGGAAGTAGTTGAATTGGGAACAAGGCCCACCCTTCCAGCCTTACTGGAGGCGTGTGTACCCCAGGAGGGCGTGTGGAAGGGCAGGTCCTGCACAGACAGGAGAAGGCGAGAGTCTCTCCTGTGGGCCATGGCCTGGCACCACGCTGACACACATGTGGCTTTCGGAGGACACGTGACTGCCTTCTGCTTATTCACCTGTTCCTGGGCCTCGAAAGGTTTCTATTTATACCCTCTCTTCCTTCTTTCTCCCTCTCCCAGACGTAGATAACACTTGCAGATACCTGGGCCAGCCTTTTGCCCATACTGTTCTTCCTCACTCAGCCACCCATTGTGTGGCCACCGGCCAAGATGACCTCCTTAATCCCCAGAGAGACGCTCTGTTATTTAGGGAAGCTGGGGCACTCCTGTGGAGAATCTGCTGATCTCATCTTGGAAACGCACCAGGGACCCGAGGGTCCTTGGAGCACCTTTGGGTTAGGGGCCGTTGACTCCTTCCTGGGGTGGCCATAACAAAGGGCCCAGAGGGAAGTCTCCAATCCCTACTAACATCTCAGAACTGCCCTCCTTTGTTGGCACAGACTGACTTTTGGCTGTGGGGACCCAAGTGGTACCAACAGAAGAAAACCTCAGCATTTGCCTTCCCTACCCGTGCAGCCCAGGGATGGGGGGGGGGGTCCCCATCTGGTCTGCTCTGTGTCCTTCTGTCCTCAGAGGGCTTCTGTGCCTGGCAGGGAAGCCTCACATCTCGCCCTACAGTGGGAAATACACTTCTCACCACCCCCTCTCTCACCCAGAGCAGGATTAGCAGGGAACCGAGGTCACCTTTCCTTGGAAAACCACAGCAGTCTCCCATGGGCACCTGGGGATGTCAGCTTCCAGGAGCCAGGCTGCTGCCCCTCCCGTCGCTGTCAGTATGGGAACCCCACCCCCCTGGGCCAGGTGGGAGCCAGCCCCTGTTGCTTTGCAGCACCCGCATTTGCTCAGGTCCACAGTGGAGGTTCGATAATGCTCGTCGGACTAGACGGAAAGCATCGAGTCCCCAAATAGCCTGGCCCCAGACATGCTAGCATGTCCCTGAGGGTTAGAGGTGTGAGCCCGTTTGTGCTCTCTACTGCAGACTCGTGTGTGAAGGTCCCAGGCCCAGGGGTGAGCCTGGCACCAGGACTCTTGGAATAGTGCTCAGAACCAGGTCTTGAAGCTGGGGCTCATCTGTCCCAGGCCCTAAGCAAATGGCCCTTGCGCTGGGGGCACCAGCTACTGTGACAGTGGCCCCCAGTATCAGTGTGTGGAGCTTTTATGGAGGGAGGGTGGGCATGGAGGGGAAATCCTGACTTGAGACAACCTCATGGCTACCCAACGTGATGGACACATGGAAACTTGGGCCCAGTGCTCCAGCTCCCAACAGCCGGTCAGAGAGGTGGCCAGTGTGTGCTTGGTCACCCCCAGTGAAGGGAAACTCACTACTGCTTATAGCTGCTCATTCCATTGGGACATGATTGTTAGAGGTGATACTGGTTCTTAAATAGAGGTTCAGTGGACATATCCTATGTGATACTGGGTATGAGAGGGAACATTGTCCCTCCACACACTGCTTAGAAGGCAGGCAATGGAGGCCTAGACACCGTAGGCTTGTGATGTTGGATGATGAAGAGGGTCCTGGGGGCTGGGGCAGGAAAGGTGAGAACTGAGTGGTGACTGGACAGGAATACGCTGTGTGCACATGTGTCAGTATGTGTGCATGCTGGTATGTGCACGTATGCAGACCTGCCTCTTGTACATGCACACATATAATATTTTGTATACGTGTGTACATGTGTGAGGTTGCAGGAACTGTTCTCATGTGATACAGAGGTCGGGCATCAGCAGATGAGCCCTGGCCTTGAATGGAGAGGTCTGTCGGGTCCACAGCTCAGTTCCCAGCTCCTCACCCCACTGAATCCTCTCTGCAATCGTCCCCAGCAGGTTATCATAGAGACTCAAAGGCCATGTGTTGGGTGGCTCTCTCTCATAGTGATGGACTGGACAGGACAATCCCATTTGCCGATCCTCCCTCAGTGAAGTGTCCGAACCTCGGCACACGCGGTCTCAAGTTCACTCAGTCAGTGTGCTGTGCTTCTCTCGCTCACCCAGCCACCGGGACACAGAGAGCAACAAGGCCTGTCCTGTCCTCGAGGGTTGCTGGAGAGGCGTCTTGGCTGGCTCTAACCTCCGCAGCAGCTTCCAGCCAAGGAGCTCAGCCTGGCAGCCAGAGCATGTCAAGGACCCCAGAATGCACCTCCGGGGCCTGGGGATCCTGTCAACACTCGGCCAGGCCTAGGGCAGGCTCTCTAGAAGCCACTGACTGCAGGATCCGACATGCTGGCCACCACGTTCAGCAGAGCCCAGCGGCTCTGTCCCCAGGCTGGGTCAGGGCACCAAGCTAGAGCTCACGCCCAGTTCTTCCCCACTTTCCCTACTCAGTGTGTGCTGACAATGAACTGACAGACTTCATTAGGAGTTGAAGCATTTGTCCCCAAAACACGTTGGAGTACCAACCCCAGCACCCGTGGTTGTGGTCTTATTTGGATATGGGGTCTTTGTGAGTGTAGTCAAGATGAGGTCATTAGGGCGGCCCCAATCTGATGACTTGTGTTCTGATAAAAGAGGAAATTTGGACACAGACACACCCAAAGGGCAGATGGCGAGGGCACAGGGAGAATGCCACGTGACGCCGACAGCTCAGTGATGCCCCTGTGAGCCAAGGCTCCTGGAGGCTGCTGGAGCTGGAGAGCTGAGAGCAGGAACAGAATGGGTGCTCCCGCCCTGACTGGTTTGGCTCTGTGGATAGAGCATCGGCCTGCGGACTCAAGGGTCCCAGGTTCGATTCCAGTCAAGGGCATGTACCTTGGTTGCGGCATGTCCCCAGTAGGGAATGTGCAGGAGGCAGCTGATCAATGTTTCTCTCTCATCGATGTTTCTAACTCTCTATCCCTCCCCTTCCCCATGTAAAAAATCAATAAAATATATATTAAAAAAAAACAAAGAATGGGTGCTCCCCCTCAGCCCTCAGAAGGAACCAGCCCTGCCGACACCTGGACCTCTGGCCTCCTGAGCAATGGGAGGTCCATTCCCATGGTGGAAGCCCAGTTGTGGTTTTTGTTACAGCTGCCTCAGGACACTCACCCAGACAGCAGCCTTGCTCTCTGCGATTTGCAATTTGCTACGAGGGCCTAATCAAGTAGAACAAACCACAACGCCACAAACCCATGCACCAAACGTGCTCAGAGTTTCTAGAAAAATACCACATTGATGCTGTTTGCACTTTCCAGCGGCCTGTTCGTGAGCCCACCCACCCTTCCTCTCCAAGTGCTTCCATAGGTTTGATAGCAGACTCCTGCGGGTTGCGCAGGTCCAGGAAACAGTCTGCCAGCTCCTGCCTCTTCCGCTCCTCAGTTGGAGAGGAGCCCACACCAGGCAGGGCCCAGCAGCTGGCCGAACCTGAGGCTGTGAGGGCTGCACTCAGAGGAAACGCCTGTTTCAGCCCACCTTGTTCCCACCTGGTCGCCTGTCCTTCTCCTTGGCTGAGACCCAGGCTCTGGCTGGGAGGCCAGCCTCCCCTCCTTGCTTCTGGCTGCCAGAGATGCGGTCCTGAGGCTGATTGTGCAAGGGCACCTGGGACCCCCTCAGCCCTGGAGTTCAAGGCCCTGCCCTGTGAGTGGGCTGACTGCAGCTGTGTCATGACGCAGTGCCCTCCCTGTACCAGACCCTGGGTGGGGCAGAGGTGTCTCAGGACTTGTCAAGATACACTAGTAGGAAGAGTCCATGTCAGGCCCTTTGCCTCTGTGACAGGTTCTCAGAATCTCTTCACTCAGGAAACGGGAACAGTGACTTCCGCCTGTCACCCCTGGGGTGTGTGAACCTAAATCAAGATGGCCCCCAAGGGATTGGGG